ATGTATTTTGATTTATGTGATTTATTTTACACAAGCATATCTTTGTCTTTTATACCAAATAAAAATATGTATTATTGTTTAAAACCGAAAAAATAAATTTTATCATAAAAATCATCAAGATCAATAAATCATAAATCATAAAAATCATCATTATATCAAATCATCATATATAATTAAATCATTAAATTATCATGTATAATTAAATCATTAAATCATCAAGCATGATTTTATTAAACATAAACTATTTTCAATCAAAATTATTTTATTTCGGCTATTGAGCTTTGTGAAGTGTGTTGGATCTCCAACCATAAGCCTTGAGCATCCATTATCAAAATTTTATTTTTGCTCCTAGCTTTCGATTATAGAGATGTCTACAAGAAATGTGGATTTCCTTTAGGTAACCATTTGACTTCATGGTTGGATCTATCTATTTTAATTTTTGGTATTAAGACATTCATGGTTCCTTTAGGAACTTTCACATACTTTATAAATAAATATTTAAAGCAAAATGACCACATTTATCATAAAAATTATATCTATTTTCATGGGAAACATATAATGTGGGTCCTTTAATGAAGATAGTTGACTTTTATTGAATGTTACTCATAAAGCCAATTCATTCCTTGAACATGACTTTTATTAACAAGAACCATGTTTAAATATTTACTATTAATTTTAAATTTATCTAACATTTGTTATAATAATAATTTTTTCTTTTTGCATGAATCTAATTCTTCACATTTAGTGCAAGAGTTTAACATGCAATTATTATGCTCATTTTTTAATTTTTTAAATTCATTAGAAAAAGAAGCATGATCTTTTTTTAGTAATTTATAATTTTTACTAACTAATTTAAATTTATCAGTTTGTAATATAAATAAAAAGCAGAAATTAAATGCAAACCATATTTATAGTGGTTCGATCATCGTGACCTACATCTACTCCCGATTCCTCTTCACTCGAGGCCATCAGCTTCTACTATCGATATTCTTTTAACAGGTAAAGATCAACTATCCTTGCAACTCTTTCTTCTTTTCACAAGCTTAGGAGATAACCTTATACACCTCTCTTTTAGACCTTACTCCTCCCTTAGAAAACTTCTAACTTTAGGAGGAAGAGTTTACAAACCCTAAATGACTTCAAAAATGGAGCCAAAAAAGGTCTCATTCCGGGTTTCTTGGGTCCTAGTGGTACCACCACCTATGCTGGGCGGTACCATCGCTTGCAGCACTTAGACTAGGTGGTACCACCACGTGACATGGTCTGGGAGACTATGTATGGGTAATACCACTGCTTGACTTGGTAGTACCACCGCTTGATAGCCTAAAAAAGTATGCTCTTGACTTTTCCAAGTCATGGGTAGTTCCACCTATCCTTGAGTCACTGAATGAATTTTCCACTAGGCCCAAAACAGTCCTAACTCAGGCCCAATGGGCCCCTAATTAAGTTAGTAGGGTTCCTCCCAAAACCAACTCAATTACAATCACAACTACTTCAATCTAGACTCAATTAGTTACAAACATAATATTATGTTGTGCGACATGTCATTGGTTTATCTAGCGCTTCGTCCGATCCTTTTGGTGCATCGTCCTCTCTTGTAACGTATTGCCCAATCGGCATGTTGACCTTCGCAACATCCGATCTCCTTGGTGCAATGTCCGATCCTTCTGGCCCGATGTTCGAACTCATAGCACAAAGTCTTATGCCGACACGTCGACCGATTGTTCGGCTCTACGTCCAATCTCCTGATATGTTCTGACTCAACATATGATTTCACTGCTTTAATCGATTTATCTTTCTTTGATTGAAGCTAGTCTTACATCACTCAAAACACAGATTAGATCGTTAACTTCATCAATTGATTTCATCATCAAAATCTAAAATTCAATAAGTATATCATTTTCACTATTATTTGATATTAAAGATGTGTCATTAATATTTACCTTCCAAGTACTCTACTATAAATTATATTGTTAAGCTTGATGGAGGGAGAGGGTGGAAAAGCTTGACATGTTGGAATATTTTTTTTAGTCAAAAGTATAAAAAATAATGAAAAAATTATTTATCATGATAATACGTTTGTTAAATTTTGTTGATGATAAAGGGTGCTCTTGACATTGTTCGTTAGATGCTTTTGTGCACAAAGAGGCCTTTGCTTACAAGGTGGAGTGGATTCTTCCTCCAAAATTATAAGAGTCGGTCTACTTAATACGTGAAGGCTTGGAACATAGAGCTGAATATATATATATGTATACCTCTAACTTCTATTTATGTTCTCCTTGTAAGTTGTGAAAAGTTAATATTTGATCATCATTGGTGTGATCTAGTAAGTTTACAAAAAAATTATCTATTCTGGATGTGCTAAGACGACTTTATCCTTTTAAGACTCATGTTTATAAGCTTTTGATTTTTGATTCTTTTACTCCTCAATCAATATGAGACTAAATGTCCTTATCAGTGTTCTCTTATGTTCGTTTTGGGGCATGCCCGTACGGTTTTACCCTTTCGAAGTTTATAAACTTCAAAAAGTATTTTTGAAGATAAAGATGACTCAGAAGGTTTATAAATTCTTAATTTCTTTATTTCTATAGGACTAAATGTCTTTATATAAAAAAAATTATCAAAATTTTTTTGACCTTTAGATCTGATTGATTATTATGGATACGTTCACTAGGTGGGCAGAGAAGCTCTTTGTTTCTTCGAACATACGGTGGAAGAAAAAATCTGTCTTTTATAAGGTTTAATTTTTTTATTATAAAAAATAATTTTTATTTTCATTTATTCCTTCCATGGTATCACGGTGACCAAGAAGAGGAGAGCAACTTTAGGCAAAACAGTTCTTTATGGACTATGTATACACTGTAACAAATGAGGTTAAACGCATCATTCAACCAAAGAGTAGGATCATGTTGTGTCTAGACTAGACTTAATACAAGTAGCCTATGATAGACTAGGAGTTTCAAATCTTAGAAAAAGTATGTGAATTCATCTCTGAAGAGAGCTTCTCACGTGACATTCATGGTTTCTCTAAGTGCAAGAAAGGGTTTCTTCATGGATTTCTGTACCAAGTTAATATTGTAGTTGCTTAACCAAACTATCAAAGTAAACCTGAATAGGAACACCTTACAGATCTGATAGTATCACTTGAAATTAAACAGCTTTTGTAATTCATTGTATCGATGTTTTCTACAAGTCCGAGATGCAAACTTACAATTATATGTTAAACACTTTGGTTTCTCTATGCCCCGTGATCTGACACATTTATCTTATGTTAAAAGAGTTGATTGGAGATTTTTCTTCTTGACATGATGTGATAGGGCAGGAACACATCACAGTTGCCGCATTTTGTACGAGTAACATATTCCAGGTATCATTTTGTGATCTATCCAGAGTGTGTGTTCTCATTCTGAACTGATCTAGTGCTGTGGTTTTGCCCCCTCACTGTAGAGTTAGAGATATGAACAATAGTTGTTAGGCACAAGGGTTAAGAGTCAATTATTCCAAATGGTAACAAGGGATTTGTAGATTATACTGATACTCAAGTAAAGATCTTGGATGTGTTTTGATCCAAGAAGGAAAAGTAATTATTTATGCTTCTAAACAACTAAGAGTTATGAACTGAATTATCCAACTTATTATTTGAAATTAATAATAATTATTTTTGTCCTAAAGATTTAGAGACATTACTTGTATGGACGAACATTTGAAATCTTTACTGATCATAAAAGTTTAAAATATATTTTTAGACGGACATTTGAAGTCTTTACTGATCATAAAAGTTTAAAATATATTTTTATTTAAAAAGAGTTAAACATGAGACAACGAAAATAGATAAAACTTCTAAAGGATTCTAATCGTACCATTTGTTATCATCCGAGTAAAGCCAATGTTGTAGCTGATACACTTAGTAGAAAATCTACAAGTTTTATGATTAGTCTGGTTGTGAAACAATGAAAGTTATTAGAAGAAAATTTTAATTTGAATGTTATGAAAAAAGAGTAAGACTCAATAATATTGATAGCCTCTATCCAGGTACAATCTTGATTTCATCTTTTCGTCAAGATCCAAGGAGATATAACAAATTTACTTCCCAGCTAAAACATGTCACTTAAATTTGAAGACCAACAGGATTGATAAAATGTGTATAAAAGCAGATATGAAGTATGGTGACATGAATTGCACAAGTTAAACTGTGAGAATTGCTTGCTGCATATCCAATGCATTCTTCATACTAAAACATTTAGGCAATATACAACTTACTGGGCTCACAGTAGTGACAAACAAGATATCAAGGCATGTGTCGGTGTGCAACTGTACACAGAAGAAGCAAAATTAAAGCATTAGAAATGGACATTCTGCTGAGGACAAAAGGACATCTATATCTGGCTATGGAGTTGGAAACAATTAAATAAAACTGGCTTAGTGATTCTTAGTTTGATATGTGTATTTCACTCAACATGGCTCAATGATGAGAAAAGATCCATAAAAATTGTTGCATGGAATAAAGGTTGATCATACACCAAGAGGGTAACATGAATGCAATTCTCATACTTAAAAGTACCTTGAAACAAACTCCTTCAAACTAACCCGAGAAAAAGAAAATAATCAAGCTCAATAGCCACTCTAAGGTTTTACAGATTTTGACATGTCACAATTACCACTCTACTCGGCATCTCCTAGAATTAACATTTTGTAAAACCAATATATCAGTCCCAAGGACAGAATAGCATGCATTAGCCCACAGAGTTGGGAACTTTCAAGGCTACTGAATAAGGTTACCATTAATCAACCATTTCTACACATGACAGTCAAGCATCATGATATACGGAGTTCATAGACATTGTGACCAATACATGTCCATCAAAATCAGTTTTCACATGCTACCTGAAGCTGAAAGCAACAAAAATGCAGCTGCAGAAATGCAACATTGAAATAAGAACAAAAAACAGCACAAGATACACTACTAATGAATTGACTAATAATCTAATTAGTCAGGGATATAAGCAGAGAAGTATTTCTTTTGTTTCAGGCAAAGAAATGGAAATCACTGCATACTAACAATTCCAAAGAGGACCTTCCCAAGAACCACATATTAAGAAAAACTACTGCTAATCTGAAGTTTTCAGCAAATAAAGCATGGAACAAGTAGATTTAGCTGACTGTTTATCACAGACCATGGCAGAGTCGCATGATAAGGAAATTCAAGCAGGAATCAGGATCTCATGGCTCAACTGTCGTCACCTGCTGCCACTCCCCATCCACAGCTTCTTTCCATAACGTGACATTATTATCACCATCAGCTACAGCTAGTATATTCCCAGTAAGCGACCATGATACTCTCCAAACAGGGGTGTGAAAGTTATGTAGAATTTTACCCTCCCACTGATCTCCTTCCTTTGCCACTGTCCATATGACAACTGTCCCATCCTGTGAAGAACTAGCAATAGTAGATTTTGGAAGCCCCAAATATGGTGCCCATGCGACATCTCTCACCCAGTCAGAATGCATCTGAAGAGCAGGAAAGCAGTCCATCTTCCAAATACCATTGTAAAGCTTCCACACTTTAACAGTGTTATCACAGCCACCAGAAGCAAGCTTCTGTACAGGGTCAAGCAGTCCTGAACCAACGAGGGTACCTGGGGCCAAAGCTGGAGCCCATGTGACAGAAGTCACACCCACCGGATGGGCTTGGTCAATCCTTGTAGTGTCCCAGCCACCATCAGTTCGTGCAGTAAAGACAGAGATGTTTCCATCTGAGGAACCACAAGCCAAGCAGAGGCCAAGCTCATGAGGTGCCCATGCAATAGAGTTAACCGAGCTCTTGTGCTCGGTGAAAACATGTGCCTGAATCCACTCATCAGGTTTGTTCCCTTCCTTCCAAATGATCACCTGGCCATCATAGCTGCACGATGAAATCACTGAACCAAACTTGGGATGGGCCCATGCAACCTGCCAGACTGGCCCTTGGTGGCCACTCAGTGTTGCAAGATGCTGGTGTGAAGAGCCATTCACACCAATAATCTTAATGGTCATATCAGACGATGCTGTGGCCAGGCACTTGCCGTAGTAGTCCATCGCCACATCATGAACCACATCCTGGTGACCTGTCTCTATCTTCTGAAAAGGCATTGCTTCAGGTTTTGTGTATCGCTTGCAAATTCTTCTACGAAAATATTCCTTGATAATTCAAAGGTCCTAAGGGGACAGGGACAAAATCATTGTTATGTAATTGTGCAAGCAAATCAAAATTGAAACACAAGCAGCCCAATGAGTACAATGTATTGTAACGTTTTCTTATTTATCCGATGTTAGATTATACAATTTAAAAATAAGTACTTTTTACTTCCCAGCAGACTACTAAAGGAAAACAATATTGTCTAATATTGAACCATATATCCCATGTTTAACAGCAATTTGAGTTGCCCAGAACAAACAGGACAAGAGGAGAATACCAAGCATTGAATTAGTAGGCTAATTACAAGAAACAAATCAGCATTTAGCAATGGTTAATCGGCAATATCAAAAGTAAAAAATGCAATTAAAGTTTATGATATTGGTTCCTTGTACATTCATTATTTTCAAGATGGATAAAGTAAATGAGCAAAAAATACAATAATATATTAAGCTATAACGAACTTCACAACAAAAATAACACATAAACCTAATAAAACCCCAGTGGGTTTAGCCTTTACACATCTAAAAAGTCTTAGTCCAATTAGAACATGAGCACAGACAAAAGGATACAACTGAGTCCAAAGGCAAGAAAAAAATCAACGATTGTAAATTTAAGAGTCAGAAGGACAACAAACAACTAGGTAAAAGAAAATTCAAAAACAATTCCATCAACCAACATAACAACACAAACGAAATCATGAAACGACATCGTCTCAAACGGTTGGGCAATTCATCAAACATAAACCATCCTGAAAAGCGCAAGGACCCATCAGATTCAGATCCTTCGATCCTCCATTAAATCCACCGAAACCAAATCCAGATTTGAACAAGAAGGGGTACATCGCTCGAGATTGCTCGCCAAAAATCGAAAAAGCAAAACTTTGGAGGAAGCCTTCTTTGGCGATTTTGGTATCAAGATCTATCGGATGGGTTCAAAACTAATCAGAATGATCGATCGAGAGATAAAGCTTACGATCTCGATCGGGAAGGGAAACGGTAAACTTCTTCAAATGATAGGAAGAAGAGATGTCGTCGTCGGCGTCGTCGTCGTCGTCGTCGTCACTAGCCTCTCCTCAAAATATAGTCGGAGACTTCACTATTTTGACGAGGGTGGCAGATTGGGGCGATGCTCGGAGTTCCTACCGGCGTTCACAGAAACGTACTTCTGGTCAATCTAACTTGATCCGACTGGTCAAATGTTCTTAACCCGAACCCGATCCGCTGACCGGATCATCAAACTGTAACCCGAACTCGACTGATATATCCACGGTTCAAGTTCAATGATCCAAATCCGTCCCAATTGTTAATCCATCCCTCTCTTCTCAAGCCGCTGCTTTGTCTCTGTTGAGAGAATGCCATCGCCGGCTTCCCATCGCCGAGCCCTCTCCACGCTCCGCTTCCGCCGCCCCAAGAAGCGGTCTTCCCCTTTCCCCAAGAAGACCTTTACGAATCCCTCGCTGCCGGAGTATATGCGCGCCGCCATCCACAAGATCTCCACCACCCTCCGTTACTCGACGTGGGACACCGCCGCCACTGAGCTCCGTGCCCTTCCCCTCCGCTGGGACTCCTTCACAGTCAACCGCATCCTCAAGACCCACCCGCCTATGGAAAAGGCCTGGCTCTTCTTCCACTGGGCCGCCCGCCTCCCCGGCTTCAAGCACGACCGCTTCACCTACACCACTATGCTCGACATCTTCGGGGAGGCCGGCCGGATCCCCTCCATGTGGCGCGTTTTCCGGGAGATGGAGGACAAGGGGGTCACCCCCGACGCCGCCACCTACACCTCCGTCATGCACTGGCTGTCTGCGGCCGGCGACCTGGAGGGTGCTGTGCGTGCCTGGGAGGAGATGAAGGAGCGCGGTTGCGGACCGACCCTGGTGTCCTATACCGCCTACATGAAGATCTTATTCGATCACGGGAGGCCCAAGGAGGCTGCCGGAGTGTACACTCAGATGCTAGAGGTCGGCCTATCACCGAATTGCCACACGTATACGGTGCTCATGGAATACCTTGCAGGAGCTGGTGAGTGAAAAAAAATGGCATTCTTAATCTGAATGTTAATTGTGCATGCTTTCAATTTGCTGGAATTATGTGACTGTAAGTTTGGAGGACCAGTAGGTGCTTTGAGGTTCCAGTCCATAGTTTTAGCTTAGTATCTGGCCACTGGTTGTCACCTTTGCATCAAGCTTCTGCCTTTGGAATACCAGCATCGGATTGACACAAGTGGTAGATGCCGTAATGGTGGGCTAATGGAGGCGTAGCTGTCATATGCAATTAATCATTATTTTGTGTGCTATATTCATGTACTACTAGGATACAAGAAAGCTAATATTAGAAGTGAACCTGAAGGTGGAGAGAAAGAACTGAATCAATCTTCTGGAGTTTCTTAGATGGGCTTGATGTTGGTGCATTAAGGATATAGTTTACCTCAATGAAATGAATGGTGTGTTAGAATTCGTAAGTTATGATGTCAGTCACAAGGTATGTTCCTAAATCTTGACATAGGTAATGATTTACTGTTAGCGAATGAAGCTATTAGGCTATGTCCTTATAAGAAACACTCTTACCTTTTCTCCTCCTTTATGTAGAAGTGGATGGTTAAATGAATGTTAGTCTCTGGTGGATAAGGTTCTTTCCATGAAATCAAGGAGGACAAGACTTATTTCTAGTGCAGAAGAAACTATCTGTTTTACTAGTTGAGTCATAGAGTGGTGCATTTTTGTAAGTTTTACATTCAGGAGTAGAAAAATGTTCAACTAGCAGTAGACCATCAGAAACCATTTTCATAGGGTGGCATTAGCTTCATATATAGCTGTATTTCAAGACATATCATGGTATTTTTAGGATTTCAGCTTGTTTAGAGAAGTTATATTAGCATTAGGGTGAAGATACCTGATCATTCTCCTCTTTATTTGTGAACAATGGGAGCTCTTCTGAAACCAGGTAATATTTGCTGAAGTGTTTGAAGATACCTGTCATAGTGGAAAGATAAGAAGTTTCTGAAATGATTTGTTTATGGGTTCTTTTGTGAATTCCTGAACTTCTTCTAAGATGGGCAAGGTGAATCATCTATTACTATTTTTCCATCCAAGAATCCTAATAAAAGGAGGATAGGAACTGGAGTGTGAATAAGCTGGAGTAGTACTTCTACATTAGTAACCAAGAAGAAGAATACATACAATGTAGCTTGTCAAAAATATTCTTTCTTTTTAAAAAACAAAAAAATTATCTTCTTAAATGTGTTATGTACTGAATCTGGTTGTGCAAATCATCTTGATGTACCATTTAAAGAGTTCCCTTTTGGCTTCTTTTCTTCTCCATGAAGCAAATTTATTCATGTAAGTATCTGTGCTTAGCTGTGTACATCTTTTGCTTGTTATTTTCTTCGTTCTTTTGGCTATCTATCATATTGTGCTTTGGGATAAAAGTTTTTCATGGTTCTTTGCACTACAGATATAAGTTGTTTATCACTGTTCTAAGATGCTTGTAGTCTGTGCAATAATCATGATAGTTTTGGTGTCTGTCAGCTGGATTTCCAAGTGCTTGCTAATTTTCATAGGCCTCATTGCTATCTACCAGGTTTGTTCCAGACTTTTCGCAATTGAAGTTGGAATTTCATGTTTGGAGGTTTTTCTTATTACTAGATGGATATAGGTAAAAGCTGATACACAGTGAAAAATACAAGATGATAAAGATTTGGTAAGCAAGCAACCAGACCTTGTTTTACTTAAAAAAAGAAAGCAACTGTTGTCATCATGTTTAAATATCTAATAGGCTAGGCATTATATAATGACAAAGGACTATATTGATAAGCTATCAATTCTGGAGAAGGATGGTTGGCCGGTTACATTATTTGCTTAGACTCCATCTAGCCTCTCACGTTAAGTGTCAAAATCATTATTAACTGTGATATTCCTTCAAGGTGTCTTATTTACTGGCTGGTTATCTCTCTCTTCAGTTGAGCATAACAAGGATTGTAATTTGTTTAAACACAGGAGTTTAATTGCATAATCAGCCTTATTATATGAAAGTTCACTAATAAACATGCATATGGGAATATTTTTGACAGCATAATCACTAATGTGATATGATGATATCTCGATATCTTTTCATTTCCAAGATATTCTCTACCAAAGCATTTTAATTATACAATGGTGAATTTTTTTCAGACCTGACATCTTTCAACCCCAAATTTTCTTCCATGATCTAGTTTTGGAATCGTTTGCTCTTCTTCTGATTTATGGAACCATCTATTACTGAGTTCAGTACTTCATGTGTCTGCTCTTAGGTAAATTTAAGGCTGCCCTTGAGATAATGAGTGAAATGCAAGAAGCAGGAATTGAACCTGATAAAGCTGCATGTAATATTCTCATTCAGAAGTGCTCCAAAGCTAGAGAGACATCAGCTATGAGACAAGTTCTCCTATACATGAAGGAGCACTCAATTGTTCTTCGCCGCACAGTATTCATGGAAGCACTAGAAGCTCTAAAACTGGTAAATGGAAGTGATCATCTGCTTCGAGAAGTAAACCCTCATCTTTCTTCTGATGGCATTGAAGATAATTCACACTTTGAACCAATTTTTTCTGATACTAGTTCATTTATTGATAGGGCTATTATCATTAATCTTATAGCGATGCAGAATTTTATTGCTGTAGAGCATATGTTGAGTGGGATGATTAACAGGCACATAGAATTAGATCCGGAGCTCATATCCATGGTCATCCAACTCAGTTGTGCAAATTATAAGCCATCTTGTGTGCTGATGGCATTTCGTTACTCCTTGCAAGTGGGGAAAGAACTTGATAGATCTGCATACATTTCTCTGCTTGGTTTCTTTATGAGGGAGAATGCGCTTGAAATGGTCCTAGAGATTGTTCATGAAATGACAAAAGCTGGAGTGAGCTTTGGAACATATCTTATTTATCTCTTGATATACAGGCTTGGCCGTGCAGGAATTCATACTTATGCTGAAAGTATATTTTACTCTCTGCCCATGGACCAGAATGTTGTTACTTGTACAGCCCTGATGGATGCTCTTTTTCAAGCTGGTGAAGTTGAGAAAGGTCTTGAGCTCTACGCAAAAATGAGAAAAGATTTTTCTCTCTCATCTGGCTTGTATGAGGTGCTGATACTTGGTCTAGAAAGGTCTGGCAGAACAGATGATGCAGAATTTTGTAGGAAAGAGAAGAGGAAATTTACAGGGAACAAATATCCTCAAAAAGATGTTTCACCAGATGAGATTTTATGCAATTATCTTTTTGATGGGATTTTGAGTTAAGCAGCATGGAAATATTATGGTCCTTTCCATGACCTGCTAAACTTTCTTTACAGTAAGCACGAAGATAAAGCTACTGCTGCTGAAATTTGGCCAGACTATCTTCAGGAAAACTCAGAGGAGCTGCATTGTTGGGCATGGATAGTGTCCCAAATAATAAGTATCAAAAAGCCCAGTTTGTGTTTTCTCTGAGGATGGCCATTCACCGAATTGAACAGTATTAGTGCGAGGTTCTTGATATGTAGGGAACTATGTCAATATGCTTCCACCTAAAAGTCCACCAAAAAAGTTCCAAATGAAATAGTAGAAGAAAGGGGTGTGGTCTAGCGTTACAATGATCCTGAGGATTGGTGGAATCACACTTCCAGTATCACTGGGCACTAGCACCATTTTTGTCATAAGTGGTTTAAAGGTGGAGAATTTAGATGTGGTTTGCTAAGTTTAGCAAGAGAAGCATTTAGAGGAGCAAAATTTGGCCTCGCTGTATGATATTTGAAGATTATTTATTTATTATATACCCTATCACTGGCAATCTGTCATTGAGAAAAGTGTATGTAGAAGATTAACAGACATAATTAATTCTAAGATGAGACAATACAACAATGAATTATTGATGAATCAAATTGATACTCCTCAGGCAACTGATGATAAAGAGGTCCCTGAGCTTTTAGTTGATACAGGAGAGTAAGTCTATGATCAAATATGTAAATCAAACTTGTGCTGTAAGCCATATTGTAGTTTCTTCTTCAACTGTTGCACAATGCTCAGCTGTTTAATCTCTCAGTGGTAAAGTTTTACAGTATTTTGATTAATGATTTTTGTCTTGTTTTGATTAATGATTTTCGAAGCTTCTCATAATATGTTGTGCTTAC